ACAAATGAGCAAAGGTCTCAAATCAATAAGCTAAGTTCCTACCTCAGGAAACTAGAAAAACAGCAAAATATGTCCAATGCAAAGAGAGGAACTAATGAAGATAAGAGCAGAAATCAGTGAAATTGAAAACTGAACAAGAGAAAAATCAATGAAACAAAAAGTTGGTTCTTAAAAAAAAAATGAACAAAATTGATAAGCCTCTAGCACAACTGTAAAAATAAAATGGGAACAACACAGATCACCACTATCAGGAATGAAATAGGGGCTACCACTATAAATCCTGCAACTATAAAATCTGCACCATTAGCAGGAGAAGAAGAGAATACTATGAACAACTTTATGCTCATAAATTTGAAAACTTAGAAGAAATGATCAATTCTTTGAAAACCACAAACTACCAAAAACTCACCTAACACGAAACCGACAATTTGTATAGTCCTAAAACCATTTAACAAATTGAATTTATAATTAAAAAGCTCCTCCCAAAAGAAATCTCTAGACCCAAATGGTTTTACTGGAGAATTCAATCACATGTTTGAAGAATTAACACCAATTCTACATAATCTCTCCCCAGAAAACAAAAGAGGAAGGAACATTTCTTAATTCATTTTATGAGGTCAGTATAACCCTGATATCAAAGCCAAAGACAGTATTTAAAATAAAAAAAAAAAAAACAGAAAAAACCCCTACAAACCAATATTTCTCATGGACTTAGATGCAAAAATCTTCAATAAAATATTAGCGAACCAAATTAAACAATACATAAAATGAATTATACACCATGAGCAAGTGGGATTTATTCTAGGTATGCAAGCTTTAATATCTGAAAATCAATGTAACCTATCACCTCAAATTGAAGCTAAGGAAGAAATATCATATGCTTATACCAAATGATGCACAAAAGCATTTGACAAAATCCAATACTCATTTATGATTAAAAAAAAAAAAAAGACTCTTCACAAGTTAGGAATGGAGGGGAATTACTTCAACTTGACAAAGAACATCTCCAAAAAAACCCTATAGCTAATGTCATACTTCATGGTAAAAGAACTAAATACATTGCCCATAAGCTTGGGATATCTGCTCTCCCCACTCTTACTCAACACAGTGCTGGGATTTCTAGCCACTGAAACAACACAGGGCAAAGAAATAAGAGACATAGGTTTGAAAGAAAGGAAAGAAAACTATCTCTATTTGCAGGTGACATGATTGTCTACATAGAAAATTCCAAGGAATTTATCAAAAAATCTCATATTGGGGCTGGCCCCGTGGCTGAGTGGTTGGGTTCGCGCGCTCCGCTGCAGGCAGCCCAGTGTTTCGTTGGTTGGAATCCTGGGCGCGGACATGGCACTGCTCATCAAACCATGCTGAGGCAGCATCCCACATGCCACAACTAGAAGGATCCACAACGAAGAATATACAACTATGTACCGGGGGGCTTTGGGGAGAAAAAAGAAAAAAATAAAATCTTAAAAAAAAATCTCATAGAACTAATCTAATAAGTGAGTTCAGCAAGGTCAAAGGATATCAAGCTTAAAATACAAAAACCAATCACATTTCTTTATACTAACAATAAATATGTAGAAACCAAAGTTTAAAACACATACCATTTACAATTGTTCCAAAGAAAATGAAAAATCTAGATATACACTTAAACGTGTACAGGATCTGCTGGCTGTGAAAATTACAAAATGCCAATGAAAGAAAGAAAACAGTAAATAAATGAAGAGACATACCATGTTCATAGATTGGAAGATCCAAGACAGTAATGATATAAATTCTCCCCAAACTGATCTATAGGTTTAATGCAATTTTTATTTAAATTCTAGCAAGGTTTTTGGAGATAGACAAGCCTATTCAAAAATTTATAGAGAAAAGGCACAGGCCTTAGAATACTAAAACAATTCTGACTGAGAAGAATAAAGTGGGAGGAATCACTTTCTGATTTCAATGCTGATTATGAAGCTACAGTAATCAAGATAGCGTGGTAGTGGCAGAGGGTTAGAAAACAGATCAACAGAACAAACTAGAGAACCCAGAAATACACCCACACGAATATGCCCAACTAATTTTTGACAAAGGCACAAAAGTAATTCAATGGAAAAAGGACAGCTTCTCAACAAATGGTGCTAGGGCAATTGGACACTCACAGGAAAAAAACTTGACCTAAATCTCACACCTTATAAAAAAATTAACTAAAAATGGATCATAGACTTAAATTTAGAACATAAAACTATAAGACTTTTAGGAAAAAAACACAGGAGAAACTCTTCAGAAAGTAAGGCAAAGACTTCTTAGCTTTGACACCAAAAGGAGCATCTATAAAAGGAAAAATTGATAAATTAGACTTCACCAAAAGTTAAAACTTCTGTTCTGTTAAAACCAATGTGAAGAAGAGAAAGACAAGCTATAGGCTGGGAAAAATATTTGCAAGCAACATATCTGGCGAAGGACTAGTACACAGAATACAAAAAGACTCAAGTCAACAGTAAAAAACCCCAAACAATCCAATTAGAAAATGGACAAATGACACGAACAGACATTTCACCAAAGAGGACACAGGGATGGCAAACGAGCACATGGAAACGTGTTGAACGTCACTCGCATCAGGGAACTGCAGATTAAAACCACAATGAAACAGCACTACATATCTATTGGAATGTCTAAAACTTAAAAATAGTGTAAACAAGTGTCTAGCAAAGATGTGGAAAAACCAGATCACTCACACACTACTGGTGGGAACATAAGACGGCACAGCCACTCTGAAAAAGTTCGCTAGTTTCTTAAAAAACTAAACATGCAACTACCACGCAACTCAGCACGAGCAATCCCAGCATTTATCCCAGAGAGTAAAAATGTGTGTTCGCATAAAAACTTGTACATATGTAAGATGAACAAATGTTCATATTAAACTGTAACAGCCAAAGACTAGAATTAGTCCAGATGTTCTTCAACAGGTGAATGGTTAAACAAACTGAAAACCATGAAATGCTACTCAGGAATAAAAAGGAACAAACTAGTGATCTATGTAACAATTTTGATGACTCTCCAGGGAATTAGAAGGAGGCAATCCCAAAAGGTTAGACAGTATATGGTTCAATTTGCGTAACGTTACAGAAATGAAAAAACTTTAGAAATCTTAGCAGTCACAAGGAGGCAGGGATAGGGGAGGGGTAAGGGGGGGGGTGTGGTTATTAAAGGACAATGAAAAGGATCTTTGTGGGGCTGAGACTGTCCACATCATGACTGTGCTGGTGAATACAGGAAGCTACACAGGTGATAAAATTCTACAGCACTCACACACAAGCAGGCACGAGTGCAAGTAAACCAGAGATATCTGAGTAAGATCAGTGGATTGCGGTCAAGTCAATATCCTGGCTGTGGTATTATACTATAGTTTTGCAAAATGTTCCCATTTGGGGAAACCAGGCAAAATGTACAAGGGATCTCTGTCTTATTTCTTTTAAATGCATATGAATCTACAAGGATCTCAATAAAAATTTCAATTAAAAAAAAGTATAAACGGTACAATTAAGCATCAAAATATCAGCAAACCAAAGCTGGCAATACATATACAAAAGTCATGAGGATGGTTTAACATCAGAAAATCTTTACTGTAAAATAGTAGATAATAAATAAAATTATGTAATGTAAAATAAAACAGTAATGTAAAACAGTAAATAAAGAAAAAATAATCCCAATAAATGCAGAAAAAGCATTTACTAAAATCAATACATTTCTATACTGTAAAAAATCCCAGCAAATCAGGAAGAAGGGTACTTCCTTAACTTCACAAAGGCATCTGCTAAATCCTACAGAGAATGTTCTATTCAATGTGAAACGCTAAAAGCCTTCCCTTTTAGGTTGGGAAGGTAAGATGCTTACTACCACTTAGAAGCAACACTATCCTGGAGACCTTAGCAAGAAAAGTTACACCAGGGAAAAAAACATAAAGAAATTAAAAGCCAAAGATTTGAAAGAAGACACAAAAATGCCTAAATAGAAACTCTAGGAGAAATCACCAAGTAAGAGAACTAATTAATAAGGGAATTCAGAAAATATCCTAAACTTCATACAGAGAGAAGACCAAGAACAGGCAACATAATGGTCAAGAACAAGGCAGGGCAGCCCGCCACCAGCTAAGAAGATTCGTCACAAAGCCCCTGTGAAGCTGGTGTGGTATCGACACAGATTGACCAACAGCCAAGGGGCAGAATGAAACCTCGACCCATGACAAATCAGTGAGGACGGGAGTGGTGGTCCAAATAAACCGAGCTGAGATCCACTGCAAGCCTTCCCTGCCTCACACTCCACACGTGGGTTCAATCCAGCCTTCCACCCATGGCAGGCAGGGGAGGGGGGTAGCATGAAGGAGCCCTGCCCTCAGACAGCACAGCCACACTGAGAGCCCCTGAGGCTGAACGAGACCCCGCTGTGGAATGTGGGCAAGTGAGCTTGCAGAGGGACTGGGAAAGACCCGTGACACACAGAGCAGTCCAGATGGGCAGACAGAGAAGCAGGGCGAGAGATCTTGGAAGGACCTGTGAGGAGCCAGGAAGGAGACTAAGGGAGTCAGAGGCACCGGGATGCCACGAGATTTGGCACGTCCTTTGGTCACCACTCTCATTTAGTCTCCTAACACAACTGAGGTGGCGAGGGCAGGAATTATCGCGTCTACCCTGGGAAACAGAAACGAGGGCTCAGAGACATCAACTGCTGCCCAGGTCACAGAGCTGAAGAGAGGGCCAGCCAGGCCCATACTCAGCTTGGGTCCCAGCCCAGGCTCTTGTCCTCAACACCAAGGCATCTTCAGAGCAATGTGTGAGCCAGGCAAGGAACGCCTGCTGCACCGCTACGGAACAGGGCTTCTGCCTCAGGGCAGCATGTGGTCCAAGTCCACTCAAGGTCCACAACGAGGTTGAGAAATTAGAACACCACATTCCCATGACAAGCACCCTTCCTTACAGCTCACTAGAGGAGTCACATTCAAGGTGGCTTACTTCTTTTACACAGAAACGAAGACTTCTCATAGCAGTTCTCGGCGTGCCAGCTGTGCAGGTCGTGGTGGCGGAGGGTGGGGAAGTGGAAGCACTGGAGCTGGGCACAGAACACATTGTCACTTTCAGACATAGCCGAGGCAAAGATGGGGTCTGGGGGCAGGAACACCTCTGAGGAACCTGTGGGGAAGACAAAAGGGGCCCGGCCATTACAAGATGTCAACACACCAGTCACACACAGTCCGCATGGGGACCAAGGACCCCCTAAAGTAGACCATCAATCAAAGAGGTTGTGGAGCGCCAAGCACTACCTGTACTGTGGGGACAGCACTCATTTGCCCACGACCTCCCTAAGCTCCTCCGAGTGCAGCTCTGGGCACCTGCCTGACAGGGGCCTCGCTCCTCAGAGCCAGGGAGGAAGCACAGGGACAGCGACACTGGGAGGAGAGCTGGAGGAGGGCTGTGCTTAGTGGAAGAGGTTTAAAGGGAGCAACAATATGAAGAGTGACTAAAACGTACGAGTTCACGTGGATAAAAGGAACAAATAGAGGAGAGCAGGGGGAAGTTCCCCCTTACAACAGTCTGAACTAATAAATGGAGAAGGAACTGAAAAGGCGCCCACTGCACCTGCCAGGAAGACACGATTCAGGCAGATTCATGGCTCAGATGCCCACAAGGAGCATGAGCTGGCCAGGTAAACTCCTGGAAAGCGCTGGCTCCCTGGGACCCCCTCCTAGCTCTGTTATCCGCGCAGCCCCTGCCTCCCAAGCTGGGACCAGGAGATCAGAAACCACGCTACCTTCAAAGCCCATGCGGGGTTTGCGGGTGGTCAGGGAGGGGCCTCAAACCTCTAAGCCTCTCCTCTGCAACATTCTGGAGGCAGGGCTCTGGCCACGTGCGGGGTGCAGCACAGCCAGCCGACAGAGCTCACTCCACCTTGGAGAGCCCTCTCCAATGCTGGGCTGCCCAAAGACTGCTGGAGGCTAACCTGGACACGGATCACTGGAAACACCCTCATTTTACCAAGAGGGCAATGTGCTTTGCCCTTAAACAGCAATGAGGCATTCCCACACAAGCCTTTTGAACTCTATTTGCTCCCAACGCTAAGCATGAAGCTTGATTTTGAAGAGTCAGTGAGTCTGGAAGCAGGACCTCATTCCGAGGGCACTTGGAACATGGTCTCCTGGCTTGCTAACAAGGGCAGGGAGATGGGCTTTTGGGGAATACGGAAGGCTGGAAAGCGAGTCCTTGGCTGACAGGCACAGCCAGCATCAGCGTACCCCTGCCCAGTGACATCAGGGCCCCAGGGTACTGCCGGCCTCACCTGCTGTGGTCAGACTCACAGGAGGACCATGGCGGGACAGAGGAGTGGGCCCAGGCTCTCTGGAGATGTCTTCCCACATCACCTGGGGGCTTATCTCCATCACTAACAGTGGGTGCTGCCACGAGCACCCTGTCACCAGCCCACTGCTGTCTTTCTTCAGGCTCCCTGCTCCCCAATGAGGCCTCCTGTACCCGTGTACTCTCCTCCTCTCCCTCAGCTGCCCCTTCAGCTGGGAGGCCCCCTCTTTTTTAAAAAACTGTTTTCTACACTATTTGGCTTCTTGTTTCACAGGATGAAAAATGAACAGATTCCTCCCATCCTTTATAAAAACACAAGTCTTCAGCCCTGAGTATAGCTGCCAACCCAGAGAACAATTTCAGCACATGACTGCAAAGCTTGTACAAGGCCACAAACGACCTCCCAGGGTAGAGTCCAGGGACCTGGTCCCACTCTTGCCCCTCTCTCGGCTGGCTGGACCGGGCCAGAGGCAAGTCAGAGGATGGCTCAGGCAGATGCAAGCCGGGATTCCCAGACCCACCGAGCCATGTGCAGATGGAGGGTACAGAGAGCAGCTGAGGGGAGAGGGCTCCTCCCACCCACTGGTACCCACAGGACCACCTAGGTCTCCTCATTCTGTGCTGGTCAGAGGCCCTATTTACCCCAAGGTCGTGTGGGATGCAGTTTCTCAAAACCAGGGACTGTGAAGACCACTTCTTTTGCCAAACTAGAAGAGCCTTCTCAGCCTTCCTTTTATTTGTCTTCTCTATGGCATTTCATACTCCAATTTCTTAAGGATGTCTCCAAACTTTCTCTGACAGCATCTAAATGCAGCTAATCCCCAACACACTTTATGTGGTCTTCCATTAGCATCTGCAGTTGAGTTGAGTAGCATCCCCCCAAAATTTATGCCCACCTGGAACGTCAGAATGTGACCTTATTTGGCTCTCGAGATAAAATCATCCTTGATTTGGGGTGAGTCCTAAATCCAATGACTGGTGTCCTTATAAGAAGGGGAGAGGACACAGAGAGACACACGGAAAATGGCCATGTGAAGACAGAGTGGAGATTGGAGTGGTGCTGCCACAAGCCAAGGAATGCCAGGAGCCACTAAAAGCTGGAGAAGGTGCAAGGAAGGATGCTCTCCTGGAGCCTGTGGAGGGGCCGTGGCCCTGCCGACACCTTGATTTTGCACTTTTGTCTCCAGAACTGAGATGAAGTAAATTTGTGTTGTTTTAAGCCACCAAGTTCACGGTGCTCTGCTAGGGCAGCCCCAGGAATCGAACACAGCCTCCTAATCACTCTCTGTCGCAGTTTAACACATTTGCAGGCCCCAATCCTGCAAACAGGCACCCAGGGTACGCTGGGCAACAGCAGGCCTCAGGGCTCCACTTGCCTTGTGGGGCTGACATCTGAGTGGGGGTATAAACAGTGGAGACAGATGACGAGCACAGACCTACTAAGTGAGCGAAGTACACATGATACAGGAAGGTTATGGTGGCTACAGGAAGAGAAAGCCGGAGCGTGGAGGTGAAGGCAGGCCTTGGAGCAGGGACAGCAGGAAAGAGGTAGGGGGAGGGGTGCACTGACCTTCCTAACACCACTTGTGCTGGGGGTTCCACGCCACCCACAGGCTCGCTGCTTTGCTAGAGGGACTCAAGGGACCCCACATGTAGCCGGTGTCATGGCTGAGATTTATTACAGCAATGTAGCAAGATACACACCAGCAGCAAGGGGAACGGACAGCTCAGGCAGAGTCCGGAGGAATCCAGGCCAGGCTTCCCGAGCGCTCTCCCTCCGGACTCGAGGGTGCCACGGAGTGGGGCTTTGCCAGCAGCGAGCTGCAGCAACAGCAGTGTGCGGCGTTTCTGCCCAGGGAAGCCTGGGTACCAACACCCTGCCCACCACAATTCCGGACTCACCAAGGGAAGCAGGCATCACTATAAATCCCGCTGTTCATGAAGTCCAGGCAGCCTGGCACTGCAGGCTCCACCTCATCCCTGAGCTGGTCACCCATGCTACCTTCTCCTACACCAGAGCGGGCCCTGAGCCTGGGGAAGGAGCGTCCCAGGGAGGGCTTACAGCGGGAACAAGGGTGGCATGTGGGAAGAGCAAGGCAGTCAAGTGGCTGGAGAGGAGGGCCAGGGGAATGGTGGGAGGGGAGGGCAGAGGGAAAGGGTGCTGCAGGCCCCAGTGAGGGCCATGCCTTGTGGGAGAAGGAGGGCCTGAGGAGTAGAGGGCTCTCTGGCAGCTGTGTGAGAAGACTGGGGTGAGTGGGGGTGGGAGCAAGGGATGAGCATCAGATCTGGTGGTTGTGACCCGGTGACAGGTGATGAGATGCTGGACGTGTCTGAAAGGGTGTGAGGTGTGAGGGAAGTCAGGGAGGACCCCTTTGTCTCCAGCTCCAGCACAGATCCCTCTCCAGGGCCTGCCCCTGCTTCCTAGACAGCCTTTGCCCTCAACAGCCTGCTCTGCCTGAAGGACCACATCTTGCAGAAAGGCAACGCAAGCAGAGTTGCCCCAGCTGGAAACCGGGAGGCACGGAGGTGGCATGCCATTGTACCTGCAGACCCCTACTCACCGACCTCCCTCCAGCACACTCCCTCCTCCACTCCCCCACCCCCCACCACAGCAGGTAGGCCCTCAGCCAGAGTAACGGCAACAGCCCCAACACTCCTCTCACTCCTCTGCACACGAGCTGCCCTTAGCCTGGCATACAAAAGCATGTGAAACGCCACCTAAGTCCTGCTGTCATGTCTCCTCCTGCACGTCCATCAGGCAGCCACTCTCATCTCTGTGTCTCTGTCCCCTGCTCCCTAAGCATGGAAGAGCCCTCCATCGCTGCAGTAGGGGGTGACCCTCACTAACTTTTCTGGCCAATGTGCCATCTGTCTTCCCACCAGCAGGCCATCAGCCTCTCAGGGCAGTGCCTCGCCTTCCTGTCCTGGTATGGCAGCACCCACGGAACGAGCCTGCACTGCGGCCCAGCAGGGGCTGTGTGGCTCCTCCCAGAGGCCTGCTGCAGAGACAGCCACCCCACTCTCAGGGGTGTCTTTCTTCAGCAGAACTGGAGCCTGACCCCTAGCTGACCCCACTCCGGCCTGATGTCACCTCGCCCAGAGGGCAGGGTCTCTGCACTGTGTCTTCTAGGCCAGCCTGAGCCCTGGCCCTACCCCCCATTGCCCCTCCTTCAATGCTGACAGAGGCTTCTAGATCCAAGGTCCTACTGGCAGGTGCAGGACAGGTCAAGGCACACAACACGATCACATCCTCCCCAGGTGCAGGCACCAGGGCCGAGAAGATGGAAGCACACCTGGTCTTTGCCCACCTGTGACGGGGGTGAGCCCCTAGAGGCAGACACACTGAGACACTGCTGGACAGTGGGGGCAAAGATGCCGAGTATACCTTAAATGAGCAAGTTACACAACACACGGACACATCACACACACAGTATGCTTCCCTTTTTATATTTTAAAATAAATAGCGCATGTAATAACCAGAAACTGCAGTGATACTGGTAAGAGCAATGATGGGGGCCCTGCACGATGACCTGTGGGAAAATGCAGATGTTTCCCTTAGAAAGCACAGATCTGTTTTTTTCAAACTTTGGCCATAACCGTTATACAAATGGTGATCTCGTGTTCTTTCGAGGCCACAGCTCTCGGTCTCCAGTGCACGCCAGGACCCGGGTGCTGTCAAATCCTCAGGTGCCGGGTTGACAGACCATGCAGACAGGGCGCAGAGGCAGAGCCACCCTCCTGTGGGAGAGGCCGAGGAAGCGTGTGCCCGAAGGCCCCCAGGAGAACTCTCTTGAGCAGAGTTCCAAAATTAAAATACATGGGGAGTGCCTGCTTGTAGGTACAAGAAGTATGTATACACATATAATACCACACACGCACTGTTGTGCCAGTACATAACACACATTACAAAATGCACAAAAATAGGAAAAAGTTAGACAAGATATAGACGAAGCAAACATTTTTAAACATCTTCCTGTGATGGCTCCCTCCTACCATTAGCTAATATTCTCAGGCACAATCTGTCCTTAGGGAGGGGCTCATGATTAACGACAACGGATTGAAATTCACTTCATGCTGTCTTTGTGACCTGGCACCTTTGGGTGAGTGTGCTCCTCAGACCCAGCTGGACCCTGTTTTACAGCAGGCTGCACCTGGCAGAGTTCCTTTGGAAGCAGAAGGGCGGGCTCTGCCATTCTCTTATTTGCTTGGGGTTGTGTTTTCAGCATTCTCTTCACTCTGCAGTTTCGCAGCAGAAATGTTTTAACATGGAAATTTTCAAATACACACGAAAGCAGAGAGAGGAGTATGACGACTCCCCCATGAGGCTTCAACACTGCCTCCACCCTGCAGTTTGTTTTGTCTGTCCCCCTCCCCACAGAAATTCCTCCCCTGCAGACAGAGCACAGCTCACCCTACACACAGGTGTGCGTCTCCTGAAACCGCACAGCCACAACACGACTGTCACACCTAAGAAGACCTCTACTACAAAAAAAAGCATGTCAACCTCTACTACAAATTCATAGGCACTTTCCCTAATTGTCCCCCCAAAGTTTTTTAAAACTTTCCCCCCAATCCAGGATGCCATTGAGGTTATGTGCTACATTTGGTTTTAGGTTTCTTTAGCTTCTTCGAATCTAGAACAACTCATGATGTTGAGCTGTGTCATGTGTCTGGGCCAGTGACCTTGCAGGAGAAGAATCTTTCTTATCCACATAATCATTTGGTGACCATTGCTTAAATCCCTAACAGAATTCCCCAGTCCAGTTAAGCAGGCACATGCTGCACCCACGCAGAGCTGCTGGACGTCAGGCCCCACAGCACCACCTGTGTGCGGCCCACTCTTGCCTCGGAGCCCCTTGCACACTGAGCCACCATTGCCAGTGTTGATAGACACATTCATCTTTTCCTAAATTTCAGATTCCTGGTGGAGCCACAGAGACCATTATGGCCAGTGGAGCCCACTAATGCCATTCTAATGCCAGAGAGGATGGTCCCATGTCTCCCAACTCAGAACAAGCTGTCATGCCACAGAGACTCAAGTCTTCTCCTTTGAACTAACTGTGTCATGAAGATAACTGTGTCCAGGAGAGTCTACACTGTCCCGAAGGGCGGTACCCTCTGCTGGGGTAAGGGGCGATGGGCCCTGGCCTAGGATTTACCTCCAACAGCTGTGATTAGAGCAGATAAGAAACTACTCGGACAACTACGCTTTGCAAGGCGCCCTGTGACTTTGGTCCTGGAAACCCAAAAGCCATTTATTTGTCAACTACTCCCGTGGGAAATCTAAATAATACGCCCAGAAACTTTGGGAATGCAAATGTGGGTAGGCTTTTAGTAGGACATTAGGAGGACATGAGAATGGGGTGACATCCTAAGCAGGAGTGGGAGCCAGTGGGTGAGGTCCCCTCTGCTGGGGCCTCTGCAGTGCCACCTCTGCACCCCCTGCCCTGGGGGCCTGCCTCTCTCCAGGGCAGCCTGCTGCCCAGGGCCCTGGCCCTTCTCAACACCAGTCCTGTCTGTGCCTTCACCCATTCTGGGCGGAAACACAGCCAGGACCTGCCGTAAAGTCACTCAGGCTGGGAAGAGGGACCTGAGCTGGGGGCTGGCCCTGGAGTGCCTGCCCATCATCATAGCCCTCCCAGTGATCTGGGACCCATTACTCTCCATGACCCCAGCACCAGGCAGCCCTACGGGCCAGGCACCACCAGTGAGAGGGTGGGGGTAAGTGGGGAGACCCCAGCAATATCCCCCTGTTCAATTTCAACTCAACAATTCTTCAGAGAAAAGACCAGAAAGGCTTACCTTTGAACGCTACCTCCCAGTGACCTTCTAAAGAGCGGTTCCGGCCAGTGACGACATATTGGTAGCCAACCCACAACCTATAGGAGGGCAGAAATGCAGGAAACCTCAGTGCAGCGGCAGGGAAGCAGCCATCAACTGTGCGTGCGTGCGTGTATTTTAATAGTTATACCGACCTTTAAAATATTGAGCTTCTCAGGGCCAACCTTCCTCACCAAAAAACCAAAAACAAATTAAGCTTCTAAAAGCATTAATGATTTTGTTTTGATACTTAATTTCAATAAAATGAACTAAAATTCTAAACAATGAATTCACAAGTCAGAAGAAGTTTTATCTTGAGTAACTCCTACCAAGGCTCCTTTTATTTCCTTTTTACTTTTTTTAGTGGTTGCCCTAGAGTTTGCAACACATATTTATAACCAAGTCCACTTTTTTTTTTCTGCTTTTTCTCCTCAAATCCCCCCCAGTACATAGTTGTATATTTTAGTTGTGGGTCCTTCTAGTTGTGGCATGTGGGAGCCGCCTCAACATGGCCTTGTGAGCAGTGCCATGTTCATGCCCAGGATCTGAACCAGCGAAACCCTGGGCCACTGAAGCGGAGCACACGAACTCAACCACTCGGCCATGGGGTTGGCCCCCTGCCAAGACTCTTTATTAGCTGATCCAACAAAGCTTTCACACTCTAAGTAAGACCCACCTTATTCTTGACAGACATCCAGCTCCATGAACATAACTCTATGAATACACTAAAACCACAGAACAGTATACTCTAAAGGGGGAAATTTTATGGTATGTGAATTACATCTCAATAAAAAACAAACCCTTGTGAGCATACACTGAGGTGCTGGGTAAAACCACGCTCACGGCTTCCTGCTGTCTCGCAGTCAGAGCCAGCCAGGCCTGTGGCATGCACTCGTTGCCACAGCGAGGGGCCATGCACACAGACCCGGCCGACTGCCACAGCCTCCTGCAGAGTGTGTACCCCTCACCTCAGCCTTCCAGCCCCACTCCTGGAGATGCCTGTCAGTAGGTCTAGTGCCACCGTGGGAGCCCTGGCACTGGCACTCTGCCCCTTCAGCCTACCGCCGTGTGCACACACACCCTGAGGGGACGGGCTGCTTCCCCACCTGCTGGGCTATGCCCTCTCGCCTTTCCACGGACTCACAACCACCCTGTGAGCTAGGAGTTACTTTTTTCACTTTGTAGCTGCCAAAATAGCAAAGTCTCTTGATTTGCCACCGTCACAATGCATAACGGTAGAGCCAAAACCCAACTCGGGTCTTGAAAGAAAAGCTCTCTTTCCACCTGCTGTGGTCATCGCACTCCTACAACAAGGTGGCAGCCGGTGCCACTGCTGCCAGCACCGGCCGTCTGGTCACCCCTGTGATCCACTCCCCCGACCCCAGCAGTGTGGAAGGGGCAGTATGATGTGACCTCCAGAGGAGGAACACCAAAGTTCTCAGCACACACCTGCCCCCAAAACAAAAACCCCCAAAACACCGGGCCTGGAAGACGTTGGCAGTCAGCCTCCGTTTTCACATTCTCCTTGATGCCACAGAGCCTGGGTGTCAAGAGGCAGGCTCTGAAGACAGATACCAGAGTTGGGACCCAAGCATGCCCCAGCTAGCGTGTGCCCACGGCCACAGGCTCACCCACCCTGGGCCTCAGTCTTCTTACCCACCACCCTGCTGTGGTTTCTGGGGGGACAAAATGAGCAGGCCCATGGAGAGCACTGAGCACAGGGCCTGACAGAGCCCACTTTCTCGGAAGGAACCTCCACCTACTCTCGTGCCGGGCCTACGAAGCCCCACACCGAGCAGACCATCCTGATACAGGCCTGGCCCCCCTGCAGTTCAGCAGCTACAGCTGAAGCCCCAGAGGGGGACCAACGAAAGGTGCTGGCCCAAGGTGACATAAAGTGGCAGCCTGTCCCGGCCCCTCCAAGAGCCCCCAACTCCATCTCCACGTCTGCTCTAAACCCCAGATTTCTATTTGTTTCCAGTGGATGGGGCTGCCCTTCCCCAAAATGCTGGCTGTGGCTATGCCTCAGGAGTGCTACAGGCAGCCAGAGGCCATGTCCTCGGCGGGCATCAGCCCAGACCCCAGGCCTTTGCTGCCCATCCCAGGACTCACTTGTGCTGGTCTTGCCAAGCGAAGCTCCGCTCCGGCTGATCCCATTCCTGGGCCAGAACGAAACGCAGCTCCTGGTCAGTGGAGAAGGTGGCAAGGGAGCCGTTCACACGCTGGCAGGTCTGTGCAGCGTCCCAGTAGTTCTCCCCACTCAGGTAGACCCTGTAGCAGCTGGCTGTGCCCTCATAGTGGTGCCACCCTGTCGGGCACTTCCCTAGGAAACATGAAGGACAGAAGGGGAGTTGTCCCCCAAGTTAGGATCCTCGCTCACAAAATGCAAGTATACATGCTGCATCTGAGCATAGCTCAGAAATCACCCTAGACAAACGGGGAAACTGAGGCTCAAAAGGAAAGCTCTGCCTCTAAAACCACGTACTTTGTGAAATGCTCAAGCTTCTCTCAGATACAGATGGAAACAAAGGCCAAGTATATTCATGGATTCCTCCCATGTCTGTAACATCTTTAATTTACTTCGCAGTAAAGACTGGCTGCTGAATTCATTTCGGTAAAGTGGATTTCGTTCTCTGATTAAGTCTGGTTGACAAGACAGCAGAACTCCCCACGCCAGCTAACGGCAAGGTCTGCCGGGAGTGAGCAGGAGCGTCCTTGCCCGAACTGCCTTCACTACCCCAAGCCCAGTCCTCCGCCTTCTTTTTCTGCTCACGTGGGTGCTGGCCAGTGCTCCTCTAAAACAGCAGCTCAGGAGATCAGAGCTGGAAGGGCCACTGAGACTGTGGAACCAAGCCCCGCCTCCCACAGATGAGAAAATGAAGCCCAGGTGCTTCCATGGTGGGCAAAAGCTGATTAGCCATTGTAGCCAGAGTCTCCCCAAGACAGGCTGGGCCAGACGTCTTCTCTCCAGGTGAACCCACCCTCGGGGCGGGAGGCCCCCGTACTGTATGGCTGGCCTTGGCTTAAGAGCAGCCACCTGTTCTACAGGATCTATCAAATGCTGGGGCCCCTGCCTCCTAAGAGCACACTGATGAAGAATAATGATTTAAAAGGCTTAAAGACTGGTGCTTGTGTTTTTAATTACCTAGAGCATGTGTGTATAACTTATTAACAAAGGACAGAGGTTCCGGGAGAGGAAACAGCAGCTCTGGCCCCCACGCTAAAGAGGCATGCCACAGCACTGCTGCAGTATCGACGGAGGGACGCGCCACATGCTCACCGGGGAGGGCCTGCTGACGCCCCGGAGCACGAGGAAGGCTCTTCACCGTAGACCACGGGTAGCCCTCAGAGAGTACGAAGCAGAAGGGAAGGTGCACGGCATGCACAGCACACACCTGCTGAGTGTGTCTCGTGGGTGTGAGGGGCAGGGAACCACCAGGTGGCCTTTACTGCATGATTCCTAAGCCCCACACACGATGCATTCAACCTGCCACACCCCCTCTACAGGTGGGTTCTGTCCCACCTCCACGTTAGAGGTGGGGACACTGAGGCGTGCTCAGGCCAAGCATCCCAGCTGGAGAGTGACAGGGTGGGCTTCCATCCTGGGCTCCTCACCCACCATCTCAGGATGGGTCCCAAGGAAACCCTCTGGGGATGGAAGCTGGGGGCAATGGAAGAAGGGAACATTACTTTTTATTGGCTCATCTTTTTTTATCTTTTGAAGTTTGTGGAATTACTACCTAGGTAGAAGTATTACCTGTTCAAAAGAAAAGAGATGAGCAATGAAAAGAGCATGGGACCGAGTTGGGACTCCACAGGACCGAGTCCTGGAGCCACCCCTGTTGGCTGTGTGACCTTGGGCAGGCTGACCTCCCAGAGCCTCAGTTTCCTTACTTGCCAAGCCAGCACAGCACCCATTTGACTGCAAGAAGCCCTAGAGTTCACAGCTGTTAGGTGTCGAAGCCAAACATGGCATTGGGGCTCAGAGGATGACTGACCGTCCCCTCCCGGCAAGCTCAGTGCCCATCAGACGGAGACCCAGGCTCCACGCGGGGTTGCCGCTTGGAGGAGCACAGGGTGTGAGGGGACCTCTGAGGTGCTCCCCAGCGCTGAGCACCCGGCGGGGAGTACTAACACAGCATCTGGCTCCTAGGCCCAGCAGCAGATGCATGACATGTCAGTTCCTCCTGTCCCGGCAGGTGGCTGCTCGTCACACCTATGTATATCATCAGGCCTAGGGCCTTTCAGGAGGGGGTTCAGCTGTGGCCTTCTGCCTTTCAACCTTCTTTAATCTTGTTATGCTTCTTTAAAATCTTAATGTCACAGGGAAATCATTAAGTAACTAGTCACTAAAAAAAAATTTTTTAAACAGAGGTAGAACCTTCTCACCCCATCAGCTGAACCTAACCTCTCAAAGCCTGTCTCCATCTACAGAAGAGCCGGTGCAGTCCAGTCTGAAAGGAGCCACCTAGTGAAAACAAGCAGCCTGGTTCCAGAGCCTGGGTTTATGTCATGGCCTCACTACTCAGGCTGGGTGACCTTGGGTAGGTCACTGTGCAGCCTCACTCATCAAGGGAGGCTGACACCCTGGCTGCCCTAAAGGGCTGTTTTAAGAGACACACCCCTCCCACAGCCGAGTGGCACCGGGAGAGCCAGGGACCGCAGGGGCCCTCGAGGCGCAGGGCCCGAGAGGGCAGGTCTGCAACTTACTGCTGAAGCGGACGGGCTGCGCCACGTTCACCGCATGCAAGTGCGTGGGCTCGCCGCCTCGGGCCCGCCCCTGCCGCGGATCCACAGCCTCCTTGCCATGGTAAGGACGCGACTCTCCGGTCACCTCTGAAAGCAAAGAGAGAAGCGGGCTGTGAGCACGGCTGATGATGCGGCGGGGCACCGGGCGCGGGCAGCTCTCTGGGGCCAGCGTGATGTCAAAGCATAGCACGGTCAGGCCACTCGGGCCGGGAGGAGCAGGTGCGGGGCCGCAGGTATGCCGTTCAGTCAGGTTTTCTTTAAAACCCTATCAAATGTTGCTGTTCCAGTGAAACGAGTCACATGTGCTTCTACTGAAATGCCTTGGCAGTCCTGCTTTTTTCCTTATTATTATGAAATGAGGTCTCTCCTTCATTTCATTTTCTAACGGGCTTCTGCTGGCACAGCAAAGGATCAGCCACTCCTGCTGAAAAGCTCTCAGCAGGTCTAGCCCCAAGGAGTTCTTTCCAGAGCCCAGGCTGCCCTCCCCCCTCACCTCCACACTGCCTGGGAGCATCCCGTGTTGAGTGAGCCGTTCCTCTGCCTGGCACTGGGCCTGAGTCACCGTCTGTCCACCTGCCTGCCAGCCCTTCTCACCACCTTAAGGCCTGGGCCTCAGGATACTCCTGCCTGGCTCCTGGGCGCCGGGATAGGCCCTGGTGTGCAGCAGGCCTCGATGCGTGGTTGGGAGTGTGAACAGGAAGCTGAAGCTGAGGAAGAAGTCTAGTTTTTTGTACCACGGCCCAAAAGTAATTCACAGGTTCCTCCCTCCACAGTCTATCTTTGGAGTTCTCCACGACCCTGTGAGAGGAGAACCACTCTCTTCCCTCTCACAGATGAGCGGCGACTCAGAGAAGTGAGGTGATTTACCCAAGGCACACAGTATGAGAGGGTCAGAGGCAATGTCCCTCCCAGGCCACCCACGTCCCCACTCTGCCTGCACAGGGGACAGCTTGGTGCATGGTGAAGGACACCTGGTACAAGGTCAGGACAGACATTGACAAACTTGGTCTGCACGGCTGCACAGACAGAATGACAGACACCACGAGCAGGCCGGCTCTGCCTCCAGATGGCTGTACCATGATAGTTCTCGGCAACCTCAGGCCTTTGTGGCACGGCAAAGGGGGATGGGACAGGAGCATGGGGTTGGGGTATGGCGAGGTGGCCTCCCCAAAACCCATCTTCTCTGACTTCATGGCTGGCCAACAGCCCCACCTGACAAGCTTCTCTAGCCATCTGGTTCTACTGTGTGGTGTCACAGACTCTGATATTGTTTTTATTTAATGAATAATCTATTTTTTTCATTAAAAATAAATATTCAATGTGAAATATTTGAGAAATGCAGACGTTCAAAAAGACAAAACATATAAACCATAACTGTCTCTTTTCTTCTACACAAATTCTTAAAAATACTGGGATCACATTAAACACGCTATTTGTTTTGCAAGCTTAACAGCTTTCCATATTCTTAAATGGGCTTAAAAGGATCACTTTTAACGGCTGCACAGTGTTCTATGAGTGGATTTCTTTAATTACCACAATCCCCTTGGGTCAAAGTTTAGGCTGCATTTCTTCACCACTCTACGAAGAGCTACAGTGAACAACCTGTACAGAAATCTGTCCCCCTCATTATTTCCTTCTGAGACCCCAAGCAGTCACAAGCCCTAGCAGCTTTGCTTCTTCTCCCACTTAAATATTCAGTATGAATGTTTCCATAGCTCCTTCTCACGTGTGTGAGGAGGATAGGTGTCATTAGATTGCAAAGCACTCTCATATAAAATGTGCCACCACTGTCTGAGATATGCTTAACACAAGGCAAAGACCTCAAAGGAGAAGTACCTTCAGGGCCTTTGGTGAGACCTCACGGGGAACACAGTGACCTCATCGCTGCCCATGCGGGATAGGTGGCCTGTGGCTGCAGCTGCTCTCTTCAAACACCCAGCCCTGGGGGTCAGGGTGACATCAGCTAAGACAGGGGTGCCCCATCCACACATCCCGAGCGCCCAGTGCTCGCGGAGGAGACTGGCGGCTCTGGCACAGGGGCGGTGCTACAAAGCAACCCCCAGGCACCCCCGCAGGCAGCTGGCAGAGGAGTGGGAAGATCGACACTGGGTTCGGAGCGATGGCAGACCGAGAGAACAGAAGGCTTCCGGGCAGAGGGCACAGTTTGGGCAAAGGCCAAAGATGGGCACATCTGGAACAGGCCTGAGGACAAGCTGGGGGGTGGCTAGAGCACATTTTACTACACCTACATTTCACATCTTCCTCTATCTGCCCAAACGAGCAAGACCTGCAATTCCACTGTGTCTTGGCCTCTTCTCAGACCAAGCATTAGCACCTGGTATGTGACAGGCCGAACTACTCACAGAAAGACAGATGAATCTAGGGCGGGTGGTGGGAGGGGATGGAAAGGTAAGAGACTTCTGTGGGGTTACACGGGCACTGAACACCAGGTGGCCTGGATGCTGTTTGTTGGAGCCAAGCTGTCTGCAGCTCAGGGAGGGAGTAGGTGAAACAGTTAAGGAAAGAAGCCAGAAAGCCAAGGGGTGATGTAAGAAGCTACTTTGTGCTGAGCAGGCTTCTCTGTGATTCAGGTGGCCCTCTTCCGTCATTTCTCTTTGCACCCATATGCCCACATCCATCCCCTCCTCACTCACTTGTTCAATACCGTCACAAGGCGCCACAGAAAGCCACCAGCAGACAGGCCTTTGCCAGCAGAAGGGAAAGGGCTTGGCTGAGGGGATGGTACTGATGAGAGAAACAAACTCCCAAGTGTCCTGGGGGAGAGTATAGGGGCTGGGAGAAGCAGAAGGTGGGGGCAGCTGGGGAGGAGGCAGAACTCAGGATTAGCACCCTTACAGACCTCTTAGGACCACCACTGACAATCAGGAATTTCCTCTGAGACCCAAGAACTAGAAATCATCAGCAGAAACTTAACAGGAAAATCTCCAAACAGCTGGAAACTAAACAACACATTTCGAAAGAATCCATGGATCAAAGGGGAATAATAAAAATACTTTGAACTGAATAAAAATGAAAAGACATGTCAGAATTTGTGTCATCCAGCTAAAGTTGTGCTGAGAGGGAAATGTGTTGCACTAAAAGCCTGTATTCAAGAAAAAACAAATCTCACATCAGTAATCTAAACTCTTACCTCAAGAACCTGGAAAAAGAAAAAGACAATGAAATAAACCCAAAGTAAGCAGAAGAAAAAAAATAATAAATATAAGAATTGAAACGAAGAAGTTAAAAGCAGAAAAATAGAGAAAATCAACGAAACAAAGAACTGGTTCCTTCACAAGATCAGTAAAATTGACAGACCTCTAGCAAGACGGACAAAGAAAGAGAAGACACGATTTAAAATATCAAGAACGAAACAGGATGTTACTGCCAACCCTGCAGATGTCGAAAAGGTAATAAGGGAATGCTATGAACGACTCTACACATGTGCATTTCACAACTGAGATGAAATGGGTCAGTTTTCCTCAAATAACACAGCCTACCGCAACTCACTCAAACTAAACAGGAAATTTGAATAGCCCTGTATCTGCTAAGAAAACTGAACTTCCCCAAAAGAAATGTCCAGGCCTAGACAGTTACACTGGAGAGTTCTACCAAACATTTAAAGAAAAGTTAACACCAATTCTGCATGACTTTTCCCCAGAAAATGCGGAATAAAAAATGCTTAGGAATAAATCTAACAAAACATTTACAGGATTTATATGACAAAAATTATAAGATGCTGATGAAAGATATAAAAATATGTAAATAAATGGAGAGACATACCATATTTATGGATTGGAAGATTCAAATAAGATGTCAATTCTTCCTAAATTGATATACAGTATTTAACTCAATTCCGATCAAAATCCCAGCAAGAGTTTTTGTGTAGATGAGATTAGTCTGAAATTTCTATGGAAAAGCACAGGATGTAGAATACCTCAAACAGCACTGAAAAAGGCTATCTTCAGGAAAAAGAAAAATCTTGAAAAAAAAATCTTTAGGAACTAGGGCTAGGCAGTGAGTACTTAGACTTGACTCCCAAAGCATGAGCCATAAAAATTAATGAATTGGACTTCATCAAAATGACAAACTTTTTTTCCCCCTGAGGAAGATTTGCCCTGAGCTAACATCTGTGCCAATCTTCCTCTATTTTGTATGTGGGGTGCCACCAAAGCGTGGCTGCCGACGAGTGGTGTAGGTCTGTGCCTGGGAATGGAACCCCAGGTCAAGGAAGCAGAGGAAGCTGGCCCCTCTTACCCTCTCCTTTCATAAGATCACATCTTCCTAAGAAAAAGTAGAGCAACTTTTATGAATCTGTCCATCTGGAAATTTCTTTGTTCTATCCTCATGTATGACTGGTTTCTCTGGGTATAAAAATCTGAAATTAATAACATTTTGAGGCTTCTAGTTAAAGATATCAGATTGAACAAACATATTCATTCACCTCTAGCCTCTCCTGAAACCCATTAAAACAAGAGTAATGGGATTTTTAATAAGGCATAGTCACAAGGACAAACAGAACAGGAAAGAGAACTACAAAGTTCTAAGAACTGGAAAACAGAAGGACAAGTGATAATTAACTTAGATAAGGTAACCATGCTTTGTAATTTGCCTGGGGACAATCCTGGTTTATGCCTGTTTGTCCCAGTACCCTATCCAGTTAAAAGCACTGGTCATTCTCAAAGTTGCCTTATTCTAGAAGTAAAGAACTCTAAATTTATTTGAGCCCAGAAAGCTAAATCCTAGGCCAACAGCTGGAACGGTTGAACTCTGAAAAAGAAATTTGGCAATATTTAGCAAAACTATATATGCATTGACCCTCTGACCCAGCAATTTGACATTTAAGAATTTACACTGAAGACACATCTCAAAACAAACAAACCACATATGCACAAGGTTATTTATTGTTGCATTATTCTTCACAGCAAACTAATATGAACCTAAAGGTCTATACACAGGAGACTGGTTACGGTGCGTCCCTGAGACAGAGTACAACATAGCTGCAAAAAAGAAGAGAAAATGATCTTTACGAATTAACAGAGTGATGTCAAGGATATTTCACTGAATTAAAAAAGAAAAAATCATAGTACAAAGAGTATACACAGTAAGATATGTTTTTACGTAATAAGGGGGTGAAGAAAAAGAAGAGGAAGTAAAATATACATATATTTGCTTATTTTTGTAATAAAAAAACAAAAGCAACAGCAAAAAATCAGGAAAGATAAGTCAGAAACTAATCCAATTAGTTACCTAAAGGATGTGGGGGGGAATGGGACAAAGGGATACGCAGGAAACAGAACTTCTAAGTATGTGTTTTTAGGTAGTTACGACTTTTGAATCTTATGTTTTACATATTCCAAAAATAAATCAGTTACACAACTTTGGGAATATACTAAAAGCCATGAAATTGTATACTTTAAAGGCATAAATTTTATGGCACATGATTTACATCTTAATAAAAAACTTACAAATAAATTAAATCAAGATGAGGTGGCAAAGTCCTAAAACTGAATACAAACAGAGCCCAATGTTAGCCACACAGAAGGAATGCGTCCCAGTGACTTCTGATTAGAGAACTGACTGTACCCTCAGTGCGAAGCAGTTTAACAACATAAACAGCTGCACAGAAGGCCGAGAAGTGACTGCGTAGGTCTGTTCCTGGTAGCAGTGCAGGAGCAGTAATCCCAAACTCCTGTATGTGTATATTAGGATTGGCCCAATGAGCACACACGGAGG